TGGAGATTTTGCAGTTTCCTTTCCCTGCCATGCCCACCAAGGCACGCCCACCAAGCCACACTACACCACGCCAACCAAGCCACGCCCACAGAACCAGTAGAAAAAAAATTTGGATTTCACCACTGGACCCCTTTTATAAAAACACTAGCGAAGCCATCATTTTCAATACCATTTCTGACAGTTACATACTGAAGTTTTGTTTTCAAAATAAACCAGCTTCCCGACTTGCTAATTTTTCTTAAAATCCAGATGCAGCCTAATGAAGCACTTTGGAAACTGTGAAGTTTCTGCTTTTGGGCTGGTTTTTGGGCTGGTCTTAATTAAGGTAATATTCTGCAATGGGCTTTGAACTTCTACTTATTATAGACCTTTTCATTCAATATATGCTTAAAGTGAATTATAAATATATCTCAACAACAGTGCAGAAACTTTCAACAAGGGAATTAGTGTAACAAATTAAATAAGCCATCTAAGCACCAAAAAGAAAACAACAATAGCACAGCATCTCAAGCCAAAACATTTTGAATTCATTTAAATTAATTAATCCCATGTATAGAGCATGTTGCTGCTTGATGCAGATGTTGTACTTCTATGATGTACAACCTCCAAGAGTTATTTGTTGAGATGGGTGGCTATAGGTATCAAATACATAAAGAAAATAAAATCTATGCCTGTGACCAAGTTATCTCCGTCCAGAAGATGTCACAGTAGGACTCTGGCCAAACAAATGAAAAGCATTTTGTGTGCCATTGATAGTACCATAACATCTAAAGAAGGGTTTGAATTCATTGTATTCTCTAGAAGTGTTTTCCCAGAGAAGGGAAAACTCTACAAGAATGCTAGACTCTAGTTCTCATCAGCCATAATAATTGACCGTACTGATGGAAAATGAAGTTCAAAAGGATCCTGAGGGCCATATGTTCTCCAGGAGACTAGTTTTAAGCAACAACATTGAAGAGATGGGGTAAGCAACCCTCAGGACATAAGCAGGTGCCGCAAAATAGAATCACACAAAGGATATTTGGTGGCAGCTAACAGAATTCTGCAACTTGGGACATTTTGTTTTCAATGGGCTTACTATATGTGTTTATTGAAAAATGCCAAAATGTGGGAGCAGAATTCCTTGCACCACGTCTTCCTCTGATGTCAACATATTTCTGACAGCACCCCTACTTGTGGCTCCTGAAACCTTACAAATTTCATCCTCCTCCTGTTTTGCAGGAAATTAAGAGAGTTATAGTTTGCTGTTGCTGTTCCTACTACTGAACAAATGACCAGAAAATGCATTCCAACATAGAGATGGAGATGATAGAGAGATAGAGGTAGAGAGATAATCTGTATATTACAATCTGCTGGCACCCAGAAACCATGCTGATGAAAGAATTATGAAAGTTGAAGTTCCTAATGTTTGAGGGACATCAAGCATAGACCATTAGATTGGGGAAAACCAGTCATGAGTTAGGAGTGAGGATTCCATGCTGGAGGATTCAGATCATGCTTTTGTCTAATCTTGGTATATTCTTCTCTGTCTCATATCCTTTGAGATAGCAGTAAAGAAAACTTTTTCATGTTACTGAGGAGTTATGATTTTAAAGATGATTTTGGTTCTAGTTTCCTTAGTAAAAAAAAATAGGTCTTGCCCTTAGTCTCAATTCAAATGACTCTTGACTTTTGTCACAGATTGGGTGGATTAAAAGATCTGAGATAAATTATAAAGGGATTGTTTTCATTATCCATGTCTTTTGTTTGTTGTAGACAATCCTCATGGTTGATAAAGCAGCAAGGTGTTCTGATTAAAAAGCAAATTGTGTACCTACTCAATATAGAAATTTCTATTTATAATAAGCTTAAATGTAAATATTTGTTTGCATTAATTCTAACTAAAACGCAATCAATTCACTTCTAAAAGTTACTAATCAGGGTCTTTATTAAGAATGAAGGATCATTATATTTCTTTAGTGACAGAAAAGCTACAATTATTTTTGAATCAGGGTCTAGCCCTCACAACTCTAATCTCCTTTGATCTCTGCTTACGACCACTTCCTTCCTGACAATACTACACTATTCCTAAGAACATAAGAATATCAGACAAAAACCTATGAATTCCAGTAATGTTTTTTCCTAAAAGAAGCAAATTAGATGGCTGGGGGAAACACAATACTACTTTTCCCATTTGTTTTACTAGCAATTAGAATTCAAAGTCTAATCCTGAAGCTAGCATCTGGTCTTGGAATAGTGACATTTGGGGCATTCGTCTGTTTGAAAGCACATTGAAGGGTTCTACAGATCAAGCCCATCTTAAAGATCACCATCATCAATTGTTAACACATGAAATACAGATTTCTTCATTGCTGTTCCCCTTTGTCCAACCTGTTTGGACATATGTGACTCTGTAGAGAAAGGGTGTCAAACTTGATTTCATTGAGGGCTGCATCAGGGTTGTGTTTGACCTTGGGGGGGGGGAGTGGGGAGTGGGCATGGCCAGCCCAATGTCACGTGGTAGGATGCCTGTGGTGGCCCGAGTGCTCTGCCAGAGAAAATGGGCTCCTGAGCTCCATTTTTGGCTGCAACGGCCTCCTGCAACCCTCCTGCCTCCTGCAACCCTCTACCAGCAAAAACGGAGCTTGGGAGGGCTGCCCACGGCCCTCCCGAGTTCTGTTTTCACTGGCAAAGGCACAGCGACCCAGTCCTTCACTTCCAGGGTGGCCCTGCGGACCAGATCTAAGCACCCCGCAGACTAGATTCAGCCCCTGGGCCTTGAGTTTGACACCCCTGCTGTAAGAGAGTCCAAGACGAAAAGAGGCTGTTGCTCCTACAACTTCATGTTCACATCCCTTACCCGGCCAAGGCAGATGAAACATGCATGGGAGGCCAGAGATTCTCAGAGTCTGATGGTGCTTAGTGGCAGTGGTTTCAGCAATGCTATTAATTAGCCTTACTTACATATACTTAAAAAAAGTCTCCATGTTAAAAGTGTAGAGTTGAGAACATAAAAAGAGTTCTATTGGATCAGACCAAAAACTCGTGTAGTCCAACATTCTTTTCTATAGTAGCCAATAAGTTGCCTCTTGGATATTTATAGGATTGTATGCCTAAATAGTAAAGGATTAGATCTCTTAAGAATCAAAATGGTAGAGTAGATTATGTTGAGGCAATCCATAGCGAAAGTTAAATCCACTTTAGGAGCTCTTATTTTATGAAGTTTTCACAAGAAGTTGGGATACATCCTTGTTTATTTATTTAAATGTGTCAGCTTTGAAGAAACAAGAGTCCCTGAAGGCTAGTCTGAAACATGTGTGAGATGAAGCACTATTTTCCCATAAAATACTTGGAAATTCTTTCTTCTTCTATTCCTTTTTTTTTTTTCTTGATTGATTCCAGTCTGTAGTCAACAATTGGCAATTATGGCGTCCTTAGCCATTCTTTTGCCTGCTTTTCCCTCCTCATCAGGTCTTTTGGCTGCTTTCTTTACTGTCCTCATCAACCTTGCATCAGACTTGATAAATCCTGAAGGCTGCATTTTATGGCCTTCTCAGAAGGCTAGACATTAAAAGGTGGGGGAAAGCCAGGGTTCATAGCTGGGATCTGCCCATGGTAGAACAGGTCTGTGTACACATTTCCAAATGGGAGATATATGCTTTGTGAACAGAGGCATCATTTTTGATCCGAGTATAACCCATGACTGTGGGTTGAACACAATGCAAGACAAGATTGCAGTGTTCAGTGACAGCATATCATCCAGGTTTGGTAGAACTCTTTTCTTTTCTTTTTTTTGAGGGGAGAGTGGGTTGGTTTTGCAAATCAAAGGGTGGATGTTTCAGTTGTTTGCTTTAACATTACCACCAGTTCTTTAGAGGCTGAGATAAGAGATACTCCCTATCTAATAAATAAAAGCAGAGCTGATGTTGGGTAAAGAGTCATAAAGCTACCAGATTACTTTGCACTGGCCTTAAATGAGGCTTTTAGGCAACAAAAGAATGGAGGAGGAGCAAGGTCAGATCTGGATTCTTGGAAGAGGGTTCCAGAAGTGATAGCAGCATTCAATGATACCTGTTGTAAAGGCCAGGTTGGGCTTGCAAAGTGTCACGACAACTTGTTATCGCTGGGAAGTTCATTCTTGCTTAACATGCTGGCTCAAGAGTGACACTAAGTCCCCCCTGTGCAACTTCTGACCAACTCTAGGACTCTCCCACAGAACACAAATGTGTAACAGCCTCACTATTGTCCATCCTGATGCTTCATATATGGAGGTCTTCAACTCCCAGAATCTCTGGATAAAGGGCAGGTGGCCTTAGAGATTATTTGTTCTTCTCCTGCAACCGTATCATAATGAACAGATATGTTTGGTATTAATTAATGCTGAGAACAACCACAGAATTTTATGATGGTCAGAGATCAGAAATCAGACCAAACAAATTTAACAAAGAAAAAGAAAATCATAAAATAATCCTTACCACTAGTCAGGCTCTCCTTATCCTAGTCTATTAATGCTGATGTGATGTATCCTAACTGCTAAAAAAACCCAATATTTGTAATTACCGGTAAATAAGTAATTTCAGACTTTCTGTCTGCTAAGACATATTTCATATAAAACCCATCTTTTTGGCTAGGGGTTTCTTAAAATAGAGGCTGGAATAACCTAGAATGTGAATTAAATAGAAGTAGTCTGTTTAGAAACTGCTTCAGACAGTGACCATATGGAGTTATGGCAGTGCTGAAAAAGTAAGTACCGGTAATCCTCACATGTATGACCTTTGCAACATGCCTCTCTGTCAGTCATGTGTTCACCAATTAGAGACAGTTAGAATGTGTTGTATTGTGTAAAATCTCACACTCACTCGCAGTCCCATGATTTTTACTTAACAACTGCTTTGCTTAATGACCAAATTGCTGGTCCCAATTGCAGTTGCTAAATGAGGACTACCTGTACAGTGTTGTTGTTGCTCTAAGGACCTTTTCCTCTGGGGTGATGGCATTTTCATATATTTGCTCTCTCCTAGATTGTTGAAGATACAGTAGGTATTGAAATGGGTTCCAGGGACGGCCCACTTAAGGTAAGTGAGAGTATAATTATTTCGCTGATGAGTCTTTGCTTTTCTCTGAGATGTCACACATTCCCATTGATTCGGGTTAGCTCATTCTGGAATAGCCTCAGTTCTCTTCTAATGACTGCTTGCTTAGCCTTTTCTTGCTTTAAGTGATGGTATTCAAATTTTTTTACTACTGGTTCTGTGGCTGTGGCTTGGTGGGTGTAGCGTGGCCTGGTGGGCATGGCTTGGTGGGCATGGCAGGGGAAGGATACTGTAAAATCCAGGGGTAAAATCCAGCAGGTTTTGACAGGTTCTGGAGAACCGGTAGCGGGAATTTTGAGCAATTCAGAGAACTGGCAAATACCACCTCTGGCTGTGGGGTGGGAATGGAGATTTTGCAATATCCTTCCCCCAGGAGTGGGGAGAGTGGGGATTTGGCAGTATCCTTCCCCTGCCATGCCCACCTAGCCAATCCACAGAACCGGTAGTAAAAAAATTTGGATTTCACCACTGATAAAATCTCCATTTTCACCCCAAACCAGGGTAAAGATATACTGCAAAATCTCCATTTCCACTCCACTCCACTCCAGGGGAAGGATACTGTAAAATCCCCATTCCCTCCCCACCCCACTAACCTGCTTCCCAGCTCCGTTCTCCTGTGCAAGGCAACAAAAGAAGGCCCAGCTGATCAGCTGGGACTCGGGAGGCAGTGAATAGATGGGGGCGGGGCCAACCAGAGATGGTGCTTACTGGTTCTCCGAACTACTCAAAATTTCCGCTACCGGTTCTCCAGAACTGGTCAGAACCTGCTGAATACCACCTCTGCTTAAGGGTAAGCTCGAAAGAAAAAGTAAATAGCAGGCTAGGACTGTGATTCTTGGCCTCTTTCTAACCTCGGAGCTATGTTATGGACCTGCCTGGGAGTCAAGAAAAGAGCCAGTCTGTACTTTTTTAGAGTTCAAAGTTAACACAGGGGCTCAATTGTACACCATGTCATAATTGTGCAACTGTTCTGTTATGAAGCATTTGAGGGCAGCTGTGATGAAAAATCCTCTGTCTCTGAAAGGAACTTAAGAAGATGATATAAGGAAGTCCATAAAGTCACATGAAACCAAATGCAGTTTGAAAGTGACCTCACCTTAAAATTGACTGGGGAGTAAACATATATGTAATCATTCTTCCCTTCTGTTTTACAGTATAGAAAATTAAAATTGGGTACCAATAAAGGGATGCGGTGGCTCAGTGGATAAGATGCTGAGTTTGTCAATCGAAAGGTCAGCAGTTCAGCGGTTCGAATCCCCAGTGCCACGTAACGGGGTGAGCTCCTGTTACTTGTCCCAGCTTCTGCCAACCTAGCAGTTTGAAAGCACGTAAAAAATGCAAGTAGAAAAATAGGGACCACTTTTGGTGGGAAATTAACAGTGTTCCATGTGCCTTTGGCGTTTAGTCATGCTAGCCACATGACCACGGAGACGTCTTTGGGCAGCGCTGGCTCTTCGGCTTTGAAACGGAGATGAACTCTCCCCCTAAGAAAACAACCAAGCTCAGAGAACACCAAGGACCCCTAAAATTTGGTAAAAACCTTTAGGATTCCTTGGGGTCTGCATGCCTCAAAATTATGCATCTCCCTGTTTACAGTCATTTTATATGAACAGAACATGAAAGCGATGGTGGTGCTTCCAAATGAACCTATCTGTTGATTCCTTTCTTCTCTTTCCGTCTGTTCCTCTCTCTGGCTCTGCTTCTTCTGTTTCAGCATGTCATTTCTGCTAGCCTGGAGTTGCTGCTTCTTCATATCTCATTCCCATTTGCTTTTCCATGATTGGCCAAAACCAGCAACGGCATGAAAAGAGTTCTGAGAGACCTGGAAAATCCCATGATGTTGCAAGTCTGTTTAAAACTTCAGTTTTAGGGCAGATGACTTCAGAATTGCCCTCAGGCATAGCAAGGCTACTGATAGAGCGGCTAGTAAACTAGACGAGATAATTGGATTGACTGGATGATACAAGACTAGCTGAGGTTGCTTAATTTCCAAAGGGCGGGGGGCAGCTATCTTTGAAACCTTCTTTAGTTGGGCATTCTATCAAACTCTGAGCAAGCCGTTTGCTTGTTCGTCTTACTTCCGTATCTTTGTTTGTTCACGCTCGGCAAAGCAAAGCATGCACACTTTCCTCTGTCAAACGTTGGGGGCCTTGACAATTTTGGCTTGAGATCTGTAAACTGGAGAACCTGGGAGACATCACAGCAACTTGCAAAAATCCCATCTTGCAAAGCAGGATTACCATGTAGGTGATAATAAGGGCTTTTGCTGGCTCCCAAATGTTAGTCATGCCTTCTGCCTCCAAACTGCTGGAAGCTGATAGCAAGAGAAGGAGGACATTTCAGGAGTGGAAGCAGATTGTTGGCTTATTATGGGGGAAAGTATGTTTATTTCACATTGGCTTTTGCAAGATATTTGTTGCTTATATATTATATATAAGCAACAAATTATATATGTATAATATATTATATATTCTAGAACCAACAAGCCCAACTAAATTTAAATTTTAACAGAGGAAAAATGTAGCCATGAATGATGAAATCCATAGCCAACGTCAGAATAAGTGAACAGTAAGTTCTGTTAGTTAAAGCAATTAGATGAACAAGATTCAAAATAAAAACAGATCTGATCCTTAATCATAGTCAATAGAACCAATAAAAATTATCTAAAATATAGTTTCTTAAAAGCTGGAGATTAAAATGATTTCACCTAAAGGTTTTATAGCAAGTGTCAAGCAATGTCTACCAAAAGAATTTCATAAAGAACACCAAAATTCCCATCTACCCTTGTGATCTCCCTCTGGAATTTAGTTTGATATGCGCGCCCTTGGTTATTGATGAATTAGATTACAGCCTGTGTTTAACTGTAATAATTTCGCATATTGTTGTTTAAGGTGCCACCAGTGGATGGCAGAAAAGTCAAGATAGCAGCCATGATCATGCTATCAAAATGTCACACATTAAAAAAAAAAAGGTGGAACTCTGATCACATGATCATAATTGTCAATGTCCCCAAATACTATAAAAGGGGCAACATAGGAAGGAGTTTCCTCAATTCACTTTAAAATGCTTTTCTCCCAAGGAGGTTTCTGTCTGTCTGTGTGCCTGTCTATCCATCTATCCCAGCTTTATTTTTTACAGCTTGATACATGGATCCCAAATAATTCGATTCCTCTTTGCACATACATTGATGCAATAGCTGTTTGCTCCACAGGCTGTGCTAGTGTTATTCTCAAATCTATTAATGGGTGGCCATTTATATATCATACACTGCTAAAGGAAAAAAAGGGCAAAACTGGAGAAACAGTCCTGATTAGGTTGTACTATATGCACATTTTAATACACTAATTCTAATGCAAATGCAACAGAATTATTTTATTCACAAAAATTAATCCGGTTATTGAGTTAACTCATCTTCTGGACTTCAGAGATGCCATGGAAGAAAAAAAAAGTAACACCCATTGAAAGTTAAAATACTCAGGCTTTGCAAATTGTTCAAATGCAGCTACTAGCACTTTAACTGACATTGTTAAGTATTGTGAAAACCACTGATGTACCTTTCACATGTACTGGGGTAGACCATGATTCCATAACTGGGTATGGTTGAGGTTCCCAGGTACCATATGTTTAAACTAGCTTCATTCATTCATTCATTCATTCATTCATTCATTCATTCATTCATTCATTCAATTTGTATGCCGCCCCTCTCCAAAAACACAGGGCAGCTCACAATACATTTAAAATCATTATAAAAAACATTTAAGAATTAAAAACATTAAAAACATTAAAACTCATTCACCCCATTCATGGCTGGATCTCGCCAGATTGCAAGAGCGAGATCAATGGCCCCAGGCCTGCTGGAAAAGCCAGGTCTTCACTGCTTTTTGGAAGGCCAATAGGGTGGGGATGGTCCGGACCTCACGAGGTAACTGGTTCCAGAGAGCTGGGGCAGCCACAGAGAAGGCCCTCCCCCGTGGGCCCGCCAGCCAGCATTGTTTAGCTGACGGGACCCGGAGGAGACCAACTCTGTGGGATCTTACCGGTCGTTGGGAATTATATGGCTTCATATATGGCTGTCCTTTGTAGACTGGAATACTTGTCTTCCTTTCTCCAAAACTTAAGCCTATTCAATAAACTATAAAGTATAGAATACTGGAATTATCATGCTAAATCACTATGTGATTTGATTCTGGGTTTTATGGTGTAAACCCAGTTAACTGTGGTTTATTTAATGCACCATGGTTTAGCGTGATTTGGGAAACCAGTCACTGTGTATAAATGAGAGATGCAACAATGGGAACCAGATTTTTTTTCCTGATGTCATAGGAAAAACCCACTGCTCCCTCTTTTATTGAAAATCCCAGCCAAGAAGTGACTACTAAATAGTCAGCAATCAGATTATGCTCCATCTGGATATTGAATCACCAAAGGAAATCTGTCTTTAAAATCTAAAGAATGAGAGGAGACATGGAAGCTTTTGTGTAAGAAAGGGAAAGTTGGAACAAAAATTAAGAAAATATTTTTAGATGTCTGCTTACTTCAGCTAGGCTATCAATGACAGACTGAATTTTTGGCCCAAGTTTAAAAGACACAAATTAGACTTGGGGGAATTGATTTCTCTCCCTTAGCCTTTGTGAATGCTATCTTTTTAATATTCTCCTTTACTCGCTGTTTTTTCTACCGTAGTCGCCATTTTGAAATGAGCATTTGTTTACACACCTGTATATTACTTACACAGAATGGCTTCTGTGATTGTTCTGAGACGAAAAAAGGGGGAAGCAGGCAGTATCATTGATTGAAGGGCAATATTAATGTCCAACAATGTTTTATAAATAGATTCAGTATTTTACTTCAAAATCTGACCTGCCCTTCTTCCAAACAGTTCATATGTGATCCTATGCAACAGGAAAATATCAATAGGAGTTGGGAATACTCTGCTTTTCCAAATGATGATGAGCTACAAGTTTGAGCAGCCAGAGCAGAATAACTGTAAGAGATGCTAGAAACAGTGGTTCAGAAATATTTGGAGGGCCAAATATTCACCAGCTTGGTTTTAAAGATTTACTGACTCAAACGATCTTATATGTACTTATTTGTAAGTTCCGTTGAACTCAATCAATCAATCAGAATAGAGCTGGAAGGGACCTTGGAGGTCTTCTAGCTCAAGCAGGAGACCCTATACCATTACAGACTTAAAAACCTCTAGTGATATAGCACCCACAACTTTTGAAGGTAAGACGTTCCATTGGTTAATTGTTCTCATTGTTAGGAAGTTTCTCCTTAATTCCAGGTTGCTTCTCTCCTTGATTAGTTTCCATCCACTGTTTCTTGTCTTGCTTTCTGGTGCTTCGGAAAACAGGTTGACCCCCCCCTCCTCTTCTTTGTGGCAGCCTCTCAGTCAAGCCAACTCAGTCAAGGAGCATCTGCAGGAAGATCAAACGAACCAAGCTGGCAGCCATGTTCCTGTGACCGAAACCCTACCTCTTTCCCCAAACTTTATTTATAAAAAAGCACATTCATTTCAACAAATTCATCCCACTGTTTTCTTTCCCATTTATTTACTTTAAAATTATTTTGTAATTATTCTCGTTTCACTTGAAGATTGCTAGCACTTTGATCAACTTCAGGAGTGAGATACACATCTGTTAATTTCACCATTGTGAGAGACACTATTTGTTAAGAAAATATGAAGCACTGACAGTTGAAACAAACATTGTTGCTGTGAGCGTCAGGGGGTGACTGCATTTCTCCAGGAGATTATGGGCTGAGTTGGGCCATGAAATTCTCTTTACACCAAAAGTCAGCAACAACCAAAAAAAAGGAACCTCCATAGCAACTGTGAAATTATTATGCTTTTAAAAAGGCCTCCTAGGAAAGTCCCTAAGACAAACTCACTGTCTTGTTTCAGTTTTTTGGAAGGCCAGCTAAATATGTTTAGCTCCAAGCCCATGAATCACTAAGAAGAAGCTTCTTTGCACGTTTCTCAGGGACCTCCAAAGCCAGTGGAATAGCTGCATCCTATTACAGTGAGTCAGAAAGCTGTCAAACAGTCAAATGCTGTTGTTCTTAAATCAGGCTCTCAAGGCCATGAGTTGCTGCTTCCACCCATTTGTTTATTCTGCCCCCTACCTTTGTTATTCCAGATGTTATGGATCTCTCAAGCTCAGATGCCAGAAGAGACTGACGGTGATAGATCAGCTGTCACCTTCATTTCCAGAGGAGACCAACATGCAGGCTTTCAGCTCCACAGCGAGCTTCAGCTATTCTGTCCGGTGCATGGAGAACAAATGAAGATGCACTGAAGACTATCCTTCATGCATCCTGTCAAATAGGATTATTACTGCAGAGTATTGTCCTCATTGGTGACACTCAGTTTCCAAGAGTTTCTCTTCCTTTACTGCAAGCCTTAAATGAGGAGGTCTGCCAGGAAACTGAATAGAACCTTGTTAGGATATCAGGAAAGAAAGCATTTGTACTTAAATGTAGGCATCTCCAGTGAAACTGATGAGAAAGTAAGCAAAGGCTTCTGCTGCATTTATCAATATCTGAAGCTCACAAAATTAATTAATTTTGTTTAATTAATGGATATTACTTTTGTTTAATTAATGAAAAAAAATGCTTCCAGAATTCCTCGTGATGTTTTATTCTCATAGACTAACATAGTTCTCTCCTACGATGTTCTCAATACATGGTGGAGCTTGAATTTTGGAACAGCGTAAATCAAGATTTAATAGACAATACACTACAGTATATATTCCCTGCCTCTATTGCCTCTGTTTTATTTTCCCTCCAATAGCTAACTGGGAAACAAACATCTGAATAAGAACAAAACTTAAGTTACAGAATTGTAACTTAATCTTCTGAGGCTATAATCCTAAATATACTTACCATGAAATATACTCCAATGAATACAATGGGATTTATAAGAATTAGCATGTATCAGATTATGCTGTGAAAATGTTCTGTTAGCTTTTTCCATTCTTTCATGAGTATCCAGCTGACGCCTTAATACATGACTTCAAGATGTCAAAATTGGAAACTAGAAGGGTTAAAATTGAGTACATGGATATTTAAATACAGCAAGTTGAAACAGAGCATTGATGTTACACTTTTATAACCATTTTATTCCTTTCAGCATAACAAGAGAACAAAAACAAGTTATCCATTACAATAAAATTGATTAATCTGAAACCCTCTCTCAAATTGCAGGTATGTTTTTAGAAGCAAGTCATACCTGTGTTTTGCAGGTTTTACTCGCACATACATGTTCATAGGATTACATTTTTTAAATCCTTCTAACAGTACTTCAGCATGAACCACTTTGTCCAGTGTGAAAACCATCTTTTTTAAATTACTACAAGTAAGAACTTTGCACATTTCTCAAAACCTAACTATCTTATTTAAATTCACAATCAATATGAGAGCTGGAAACATGAAATGAGATTATATACAGCACTCTGCAGCACACATTAGTAGGATAGCATCAACCAGTTCAAGAAAAAAAAGAGAAAGGGAGGGAGGGAAGGAGGGAGGGAGGGAGGAAGGAAGGAAGGAAGGAAGGAAGGGAGGGAGGGAGGGAGGGAGAAACAATTGTCCTTAAGAAGGCAATCTAATTCACAAAGCCTGAGTAAGTCACTAGTTCAATGAATAGGAAAATGTAAATGTGAATAGACATTAACTAGCTTAAATATCTTCATCTGCTGACAGCATGTAAAATCTCTAGCAAAAATGTTACATCTCTATTCAGGATCCTAGACAGTCAGCCAACCACATTATTTCTCATTGTGTTTCATTCTGTCCATTATTTTTCCTGCTTCTAAGATTCAACCCTATATAGACTCAATATTATATTACACCTTTGTCCTCGACTGGTCTATTAAGATTCTTTACATTAATGCTTCTTTCCTCCTTAAGTTATATACATGTTCTCAGTTTCTTCTTTCTTTTTTGACGTATGGGGGAATGGGGTACTCGGACTCCCCTTTGGTGCTTGCTGCTATATTCCTATCCTTGTGTTTGTGTAGTTGCTGTACACAAACATAGATTATCACTTTATAATGTCACTTTGGAGACAATGGCTATTGTTCTTTGACTTGATATGAGAGCTTCTTGGGCAAAGTTTCCTCATCTCATGGACTGATTATTAACAGGTGACGTTTTATTAGATCTCCATATTTTCTGCAAGACTTGCATTTGTCATTGTAGCAACAATTAAGAATGCACATCAGATGTGATCAAAGTTTATTTTATGAGATGCAGCAAGATGATTCGGTATGGATTTTCTTTTTTGCAGGATGGAACAAACAGTTCTGAATGCACCCTTTTTGGGGTTTTCATATAGATCAGTTCCTAATTTCTTTCTCTGGGGCTCTGCTGACCATAAAATATAGCACAATAGCTGTTGTGTGAAAATTAAAACAATTTTCATAGTGTATGTAAAGCAAAACAGAATGTAGCATAACTGAATGTAACATAACATAATGTACATAAAGCATGCAAAAATGTATGTAAAATATTGTGGAAGGGAGGGAAGTACAGATAGTCCTTGACTTATAACCATTCATTTAGCGATTCTTTGAAGTTACAATAGCACTGAAAAAAGTTTCTTACAACCAGCCCTCGCACTTATGACTGTCACAACATCCCCATGGTCACATGATCAAAAATTGGGTGCTTGCCAACCGACATGTATTCATGGATGCTGCATCCCAGAATCATGTGATCATTAAATGCAACCTTCCCACCAGCGGTGAAATGCACTTACCTTCACTACCGGTTTGGGAGTATGAGCACATACGCCTCTTCTGTGCATGCGCAGAGAGTCAAAAATGGGACATAATGACATCCTGGCAGGTGGGCAGATCCTCCCACCAGCGGCGCTACCAGTTCACATGAGCCGGATAGATCTGGCCGGATTTCACCACTGCTTCCCACCCAGCTTCCAACAAGCACAGCCAATGGGGGAGTCAGATTCATTTAATGACCATGTGATTACTTAACATCTGCTATGATTCATTTAACAACCATGGCAACAAGGTTGTAAAATCAGGCATGATTCACTTAACAACAGAACCTTTGGTTCCAGTTATGGTCATAAGTCAAGGACTACCTGTACTGGATTCAGTGACTAATGACCTACTCAAATGAGAACAGAGTCTGTGATCTGATCAACACTTATTCTCTTAATCAAAATCTTGGGGGGAAAGTAGTTTGTGGGTTTCAAAAAGATCCTCAGTTTTACCATTTGTTCTACCTCAATGTTGATCGAGCTTACTATTGCTCAAATGCTTAAATCATCTTGGCCTAATAACTGACTTATTGTTTGGAAAAGGCCTGTGCATTAATTCCTTACTCTTCCACTTCATCCCCTTACAATCAGCTTCCCAACTTTCAAGAAGACACATTATCATCCATTAAAATATCCCTTCATTTTGTCCCTTCAGTGTGCCTACCAGAAATTAGGCAATACAGAATATTATCACCACAAAGCGACAATTGCAACTTTTACAACTAAATATATTTTAGAGGTCCATGGTCTGAAATTTCTAGTTTTAATTACTATACCATTGTCACAGTTTATAATAGTGTAGCTTGCTGCAAATTTCATCCCACTCTATGTTTCCCTCATGGTAGATTCTTATTTTATTTGTTTGTTTATTTATTTATTTATTTATTTATTTATTTATTTATTTATTTATCAAGCATATATAAAATAACAGGTAAAAGTATAAACATAATTTGAATACATGAAAAGAGTAGGAGTAAAAAAAGAAAAAAGAAAAGAAAAGACCTCATTTTTTCCAAATTTGCTTCTATTTTTTTCTTCTGTTTCGTCCTTCAAATAAGTTTGGACTGTGGAGTTTTTAATACTTTCTGAGCTTGGTTCTTTGCTTGCAGCCCTTTCATTATCCAACTAGCTACTGTGTTTCCCCGAAAGTAAGACCCTGTCTTATATTTGTTTGAACCCTGAAATAAGCGCTTGGCCTTATTGCCATGCACTCAAAAGCCCGATTGGGCTTATTATCAGGGGATGTCTTATTCTGGGGGAAACAGGGTAATATTATCAGTACCTAGGTTGGATTGCTTTGACATCAATCCATACTGGGTTAGCCCTAATCAAATAATGTGGTCTCTGCAAAATCCTACAATAAAGATCTCTGTATTATGAAAGTTATAAAATACTAATCTAAGCAGTGGAATCTGAAAAGTCTTTCAATCACAAACTTGCCATCAAAAGACTTAAAGCTTTGTTCAGTTTTATCAGAACATCTTCTGAGCCGCAGCATTTTCACAATAGCGATGGAATGAAATTTGGAATATAAATTCTCTGTTGGATAATATGCATGTTTACACAAAAGATAAACAGATACATATTTTCCCTGCATCTGTCCATGCCAATTCAGCAGGTTTTTGGAATGCTAAACTGTAAACTACTTAGGAAAATCAGCTCCGTCTTCTCAGGGTGGAAGGCAAGTTTAATCCTTTTAGCTTCTCTGACATTGCAGGATTTGTACTTCTCTCTTCATTCTTTCTGGAAAAAGTAATGCCTTTTTTAAAAAAAACGCACTTGTAATATATTTTTTTTGAAAAATATAAAAGGTGAGACCACATGTGGACAATTGTGGTTACTATTATTTAAAAAGAAGAAGAAGGAAGAAGAAGAAACATCCGATCTTTGTGAGTCATATGATTATAAATTACGTTGCAATTTATATATTTTAGCAAGATTCTAACATGCTTCTTGCATAATCGTTAGCCATGTTAAGTGCCATAAGAATGGTAAGGAAGGGCTGAATACCAATAGCAATAGGACTTAGACATATACGACTTCACAGTGCTTTACAGCCCTCTCTAAGCAGTTTATATCAGCATATTGCTCCCAACAACCTGAATCCTCATTTGGGTCCTCATGGGGTGATATCATAGCAGTGTTCCGATATCTCAGGGGCTGCCACAAAGAAGAGGGAGTCAAGCTATTCTCCAAAGCTCCTGAGGGCAGGACAAGAAGCAATGGATGGAAACTAATTAAGGAGAGAAGCAATCTAGAACTAAGGAGAAATTTCCTGACAGTTAGAACAATTAATCAATGGAACAACTTGCCTCCAGAAGTTGTGAATGCTCCAACACTGGAAGATTTTAAGAAAAGATTAGACAACCATATGTCTGAAATGGTATAGGGTTTCCTGCCTTAGCAGGGGTTTGGACTAGAAGTTCTCCAAGGTTCCTCCAACTCTGCTATTCTATTCTATTCTATTCTATTCTATTCTATTCTATTCTATTCTATTCTATTCTATTCTATTCTATTCTATTTCAACCTCAGAAGGATGGAGGTCAGGACTGAACTCCAGGCTATGGGCAGAATTAGTCTCCAAGACTGCATTCTAACCAGTGAGCTGTGATGGTACAGTGGTTAGAATGCAGTATTGTAATTGCATTTATATATAATTGAAATTATAAAAAACATAGGCAGTGCTGTTTAGGAGGATCAATCAGAATTTCTTGGGAGAAGGATTGCAGCTTCCCTACTTCCTAGCTTCTGTCTCCCTAGCAGCACCCTGATGTGACTAGGAAAACAAATTCAAATGCAGTGAACCTGCCATGTCAGTATCAGTAGTTCAGAAGAGTTAAAGGTAGACATGGAGGAATAGGACATAATTTACTTAGACTTGAATAAGGATGCTAATCGTCCCCCAGGGGGGTTGGACTAGAAGACCTCCAAGGTCCCTGCCAACCCTGTTATTCTATGTTTCATGTTTTATTAGGATTTGCACTTCAACTTTGTTCCATGCCCAGAGTCTCTATGGTGTGAGAGACTGCCATATGAAAAAGAATAAATGCAGTGGTGAAATCCAAAATTTTTTACTACCGGTTCTGTGGGTGTGGCTTGGTGGGCATGGTGTGGCTTGTGGGGATGGCAGGGGAAGGATACTGCAAAATCCTCATTCCCTCCCCACTCCTGGGGGAAGGCTATTGCAAAATCTCCATTCCCGCCCCACTCTGGGGCCAGCCAGAGGTGGTATTTGCCGGTTCTCCAAACTACTCAAAATTTCCGCTACTGGTTTGCTGAACTGCTCAAAATTTCCACTACTGGTTCTCCAGAACCTGTCAGAATTGCACCCCTGAATAAATGAAACAAATAA